CGTGTGTGTGCGTGTGCGTGTGTGTGTGTGCCTGTGTGTGTGCTTGTGTGCGTGTGTGCGTGTGTGCGTGTGTGTGCGTGTGTGCGGGTGTGCGCGCGCGCGTGCGTGAGTGCGTGTGTGCGTGTGTGCGTGTGCGTGTGTGTGTGTGTGCTTGTGTGCGTGTGTGCGTGTGTGCGTGTGTGTGCGTGTGTGTGGGTGTGCGCGCGTGCGTGCGTGCGTGCGTGCGTGCGTGCGTGCGTGCGTGCGTGCGTGTGTGTGTGTGTGTGTTGGGGGGGGGCTCCTCCTCCTTCTCCACTTTTTTTGCGACGACCCCGAGGCCGGCCATGGGCAAGAAGCACAAGAAGAGCCACGGCCTCTGCCCACGCTGCGGCCCCTCTGCCCCCCCTTCGCCACCACGCCGACGGCAGGTGGACGGCGACGACGACGACGACGACGACGACGACGACGACGACGGCAGCGACGACGACGACGACAAGGACGAGACTCTCTGGGGCTTCCGCGCCGCGAAAACAGAAGCACGGCGTCGGGGGTCGGGGAGGGCTTGCGGTCTTTCTCTGATTCCTTGTTTTGCCGATCGGCGCGGGTCTTCGCACCCCCTCCCCCCCCTTCCCCCCCCCCCATCCCCCCCTGGAGTACGTAGATCTTGGCTGCTTTTGGCGCCCGCTTCGCGAAGGTGGGGCTTCCCCCATGATGGACGCATTGGTGCAAGCAGTCTCATCAAGCAGAGGTCCGGAGCCAGACCTCCCCCCCTCCACCCCCCGGAGGAGGAGGAGGAGGAGGAGGAGGAGGAGGCGCAGGAGGAGGAGGAGGAGGAGGAGGTCCGCCCAATGTGGAAGCGCCGAAAAAGAAAACGCTCACCTTTGGGTGGGGGGAGGCTACCATTTGCTGCGCGAGCTCAGGCGAGGCCCTGCGGGGCAGGCGGGCGACCCTGGCGACGGGCCTTAAGGGCGAGCTGGCGGCGACAGCGACGATCCTGGCGGGGCGCAGACACTGCGATGTGAAGGCATTCGTTATGAGGAGGAACAAAAACTCACAGGCACAATTTGTCGTCGACTCCCAGGAAAAGATGGGAGAGTCTGAGAAGTGGGAGGGGACGACGAGCATCAAAAACATGTGAGAACATATGAGGGCTCCTGGGATACGTGTGTCTTGATTTGTGTCCCTGAGCCCCTCCATCATTGGAGAACGAGACTCGCCTAAAGTTGCCATGGCTGAGCTGAGGCATCGAGGCCTGTAGCTCCGTGGCAGTTTCTCACAGGATGACGTCGACATAGATTGCCCGCTGCCTGTCGTGTGTGGCCAAAGAGGCAGAATTCAAGCACTTGGCCCCATTTAGATATTGTAGTGGCCTTCGGCCAGAGCCGCCGATACAGGTCGCTTGGGGTGCCCCCCAGTCTGGGCGGCGACACTTCGCCGACAGACACGCACGCACACGTTCGCAGACATTACGCGCACACACGCACACACGCACGCACGCACGCACGCACGCACGCACGCACGCACACACACACACACACACTACTCACACCCACACACACACACACACGCACACACCACACACACACACACGCGCGCGCCACCTCCGCAGGCACATGCGCACGCACACGCCGACAACACACATATACACAAACACACACGCACACACACACACACACACACCACGCACACCGCACAAACACGCAAACACACACACCACACAACAGACACGCATTTCACCGCCACCTTCGTTTTCCCCCCCTTGTTCCCCGTTTTCCGCTTTTGTCCCGTTCCACTTCTCTCTTTTTTCATGTTGTTGTTTTGTTTCTCTCTTTCTCTCTCTTTCTCTCTTTTCCTCCGATTTCTTTCTCGCGTACACGGACAAACATTACCCCACGCACACGCGCACACCCCGCCCCTTCTCCTCCTTCCCCGGCAGAGCCACCCTGGCAACCCCCCCAGTGGCTGAAGCTCAGCCTCGAGGCTGTAGCTGAGGCTCCTTCAGATTCACACGCCGCGGGACCCCCCTTCCCCCCCCCCGCCATCTGAACCCACGCCACCGGACCTCCCCCCCTCTTTCCCCATTGCCCCCTGTCCACAGGCGGGACGGGGGACCCCCCCCACGCCACAGGAATCCACGCCACCGGACCCCCCCCCCCCTCCCCCTCCCCCTGGTCCTGGCAGAGCCACCCTGGCCACTGGACCCCCCTTCTTCCCCAAATTCCTTGGATATATCCACAGGCGGGGCGGGGGACCGGACCCCCCCCCCACCAACCCACGCCGCCGGAACCCACGTCACCAGACCCCCCCCTTTCCCCTCCCCCTATTCCGGCAGAGCCACCCCGGTCCCCCCCCCCTTAAACTCACACGCCGGATCGGCGGATTCTGCCATGTGCGTGCTTTGGCCCCAATTTGTTGCAGTCGGGATGAGGGCATGCGTGCTGCAGAATATTTGAAGACTGGTCCACCCGAGAGAGCGTCGCCCATGACGTAGCGTAATCACCGCTACGTCATGGTTGTATGACAAATGCAGTTTCGATGGAGTTGTCCAAGCGAAGTGAATAGTGATGGTGTAATCTGTCTCCGCTGCGATTGGTGTGACCAGGTGGTTTGAAGTTGTTCGCGCGCAGTTGGCTTATCACGACCTTTCCGGCGGCAGGGATGAATCTACAGGTCACGGATGATTGCGCGTCCCTTCTCCGAGTACTGGTTCACTCGATCGCGTTGCCGATTGGAATAATATCAAGTTTGCTACCTGGTGGCGCTCTGGAGTGTTACCCTGATTGGTCTGCACACATGCTCGAAGAACACATCGCAGTAGTTCGAGTTGGAGACAGCGTTCGTTGATACAGCCCGTGAAATATTATCGAAGACGCCTACGGCGAATCACCGCCGCCCCCTGCCTTTTTGGAAACGCCGATGTGGCCGAAAGTTGGACTAGAGCTTGGCCAAGCTATCGGACCATGAGTTCCCCGAGTCGGTTTGGAAAGCTTTCGGGGAACACATGGGAGAGAATGATTATGAACAGGAAGAGGAAGAGGAAGAAATAGAGTAGGAGGATGAGGGTTGTTAGGAGTCTCTTGGGGCACCCTTGGGGTCTGTTGGGGGCTTCTTGGGGGCCTCTTCGAGGCCTCTTGGAGGCATCTTGGGGGCCTCCTTGGGCCTCTTGGGGGCCTTTGGGGGCTTCCTGGGGGTCTCTTTGGCCGTCTTAGGGCGTTCCTGGTCCGTCTGACGCCGTCTGGAGCCGTCTTGGGGGCCTCTCTGGGCCGTCTTGGGGCCCTCTTGGGGCGCTTCAGGGCCGTCTTGGAGGCCATGTTGGGCGTCTTGGAGGCCTCTTGGGCCGTCTTGGGGCGCTCTTGGGGCCGTCTTGGGGGGCCCTTGGGCCGTCATAGGGCCTTCTTGGAGGCCTCTTGGGCGATCTTGGGGGCCTCTTGGGCCGTCGGAAGGCCGAAAAGAAGAAAACGCAAAAAACCTTCAAAAACCTAAGGAAAACCAATGATTTTGGCCTCTTCGGGCTCTCCTGGAGAACGTCTTGGAGGCCTCTTGGGCCATCTTGGAGGCATCTTGGGGCCATCTTGGCCGTCTTGGAGGGCATCTTGGGCCGTCTTGGAGGCATCTTGGAGCCATCTTACCCGTCTTGGAGGCCATCTTGGCCGTCTTGGAGGCATCTTGGAGGCCATCTTGGGCCATCTTGGCCGTCTTGGAGGCCATCTTGGGCCAAGTTGGGGCAACAAAGGCATTGACAGATGGATTTTCGGAAACTTACGGGTGGCCGGCGGGACGGGCCGAAGCCCACTGGGGAGTTCTTTTAGAAAAAGAACCAAAACCAAAACCTGAAACGTCCAGCACGCCGTGCACCCCTGCAAGACAGGGGGCGGCGGATCGAAGACGCCTACGGCGAATCACCGCCGCCCCCTGCCTTTTTGGAAGCGCCTATGTGGCCGAACGTTGAGGCCAGACCTGCCAAGCTATCGGACCACGTGTTCCCCGAATCGGTTTGGAAAGCCTTCGGGGAACACGTGGGCATCTTGAAGGTCATCTTGGCCGTCTTGGAGGCCTCTTGGGCAAGCTTTGGGCGATCTTTGGGGCTTTTTGGGCCGTCTCGGGCCAGCTTCGAGCCAACTTCGGCCATCTTGGTGGGTTCCTGGCACGTCTGAAGCCGTCGGAAGCCGTTTGGGGGGCCTCTATGGGCCGACTTGGGGCCCGCTTGGAATGCTCCAGGGCCGTCTTGGAGGCCATCTTGGGCGTCTGGGAGGCCATCTTGGGCGTGTTGGAGGCCTCTTGGGCCCTCTTGGGGCCCTCTAGGGGCCATCTTGGAGGCCACTTGGGCCATCATGGGGCTCTCTTGGGGGCCTCTTGGGCGATCTTGGGGGCTTCTTGGGCCGTCTTGAGCCGTCGGAGAGCCGAAAAGGCGCAAATGCCAAAATCCTTCAAAAACCAATGGAAAATCAATGATTTTGGCCTCTTCGGACTCTCCTGGAGGACCTCTTGGAGGCCTCTTGGGCCGTCTGGGAGGCCTCTGGGGGGCCTCTTGGGCCGTCTTGGGCCGTCTTGGACTCTCTTGGGCCGTTTTGGAGGCCGTCTTGGACCATCTCGGGCGGACTTGGAGGCCATCTTGGGCCATCTTCGCGATTTTTTGAGGATGTCCCGAGCGAAACGGCCGTTTTTGGGCATTGAGAGATGGGTTTTGGGCAATTTGCGGGTGGCCGGCGGGACGGGCCGAAGCCCACTGGGGAGTTCTTTTAGAAAAAGAACCAAGACCAAAACCTGAAACGTCCAGCACGCCGTGCACCCCTGTGGCAAGACCACAGGGGGCGGCGGATCTAGAGGCTTTCGGCCCATTCCGCCACCGTACCTGGGTCAAAGGCGTGTTGGGTGCCTTTCGGGGTCGCTTGGGATGCCTTTCGGGGACCTTGGAGGCCTCTTTCGAGCTCGTGGGGCGTCTTGGGGGCCTCTGGGAGCTTTTTCGGGGCGTGCTCAGGGTCTTTGGGGGCCACCTTGGGGCGAATGGCTCCCAGGGCTCATTCGCTTTCCCCAGACTGGCTTTCATTCTGGCCCTCTGGGGGCCTCCTGGGCCGCATCTTCGGGCGATGTTGGATGCCTCCTGGGCTGTTTTGGATCGCTGGACGCCCGCAAAAGGACGACGACGCGACACATTTCAAATACAAGACATTGAACATGGGGACCATCGTTGGCGATCCTGGCGCTCTCTGGCCTCCGGAAGCACATCAGGAGGGGAAAAAACACACAGACACAATGAATCGTCCACTCCCAGGAAAATATGGGAAAATATGGGAGGTGGGGGGGAAGGAAAAAACTCAGAACATATGGGAAAAGATTGGGAATCTTCTTATTTGTGTGTATTTATTTGTGTGTCCCAGGGCCCCTTCAGCACAGGCCACCCCAGGGAGAGAGGCCCGCGGCGCGCCCCGAGAGAGAGCCCCCCGCGGGAGCGGCCCGCTCTGGGGGCCCCGCCGGGGTGGGGGCAGCGCGCAGAGCTCAGCGATTTTGCGATTCATTATCGATTCGGAGCTCCATTGCGATGTCTTGTCTTGTCTTGTCACCTTCTCCTCCTCCTCCTCCTCCTCCTCCTCCTCCTCCTCCTCCTCCTCCTCCTCCTCCTCCTCCTACGCTGGGCCCCTCGAGAGCCGGGGGGACGCCAAGGCTCGAGTGCGCCGGGACTCGGGTTCGCCTTCGCTTTTCGGGCCGGGCGAAAGGGGGGGATTGGGAAAGGGGGGGGTTACGGAATTTGCTGCATGCAGCTGGTTTCGGCCTCACCGAGGGGCCCATTCCTCGATACATGGCCGCCTCCGGCGCCGGGAGGCGCCGGGAAAATCAGCTACGTGAGCTGATTCTCAAACTCCCCTTTGCTATCCCCCCCTTTCGCCCGACCCGAGAGAGTCGGGGGGACGCAGAGGCTCGAGTGCGCCGGGACTCGGGTTCGCCTTCGCTCCCAGACCTCCTCGAGTCATGAGAAAATCACGACGCGAGGTTTGTCGCTATTTTCGGCCTCTGAGGGCCCTTACCGGCCTCGGGACCGTCAAAAAATGATCCGGGGCGAAAAACCGGTCCCGGGGAATGGGTCTGGACCTCTGGGGGTCGCGTCATGAAAAAATCATGACGTCGGGGGTCTGAGCTTTTTGACGACCCTGGCCCTGGACTTTGGCAGTGCAGTGTTCGTGGGATGTCTGCAGCGGGAGCTCGCGTGAAACTTCAGACCGGGCCTCGCCATGTTCGTGATGGCCCCGTCGGGCCAACCCGAGTCCCCCTTTACCCGAGTCGTACGTCTCCCCTGTAGAAGCACAGCGGAGGCCCATGCCAAGCAGCACCCTGTTTGCCTCCAGGGTGCCCTGGGTTTCTCGGGTTTCGATGGTTTCGCTGTGGAGAGCGTGACGTTCTTGTGGGAGTTTTTTTGTAGTCGGGCCACTACTGTACCCTGGGCCCAAGGTACCCCTCAGGAATCTCGGGGTGGCCTAAACGGCCTCTGGGGCACCCCTCACGGGGCCCAGAGGGCCTCAGGGGCTCCAAAATGGAGCAAAAAGCTGGGGGCACCCTGGGCCAGGGGCACTTCTAGCAGCACCCGATAAGGACTCTTGAGGATCTGAGGACGCTTCTTTTAGTGCCTCGCAGTACGGTGGCCGATACTGGTATAGTGCCCATTCGGCATTCAGAGAAGATTCTTGATTTAGTTTTCATTTCCAGACCCTCTCGCGTTGTGAAAAAAACACGACGGGAGCTTTTTCCCTATTTTCGGCCTCCAGGAGCCCTTACCAGGCCCCGGGGCCGTCAAACAATTACTCAGGATGAAAAATTGGTCCTGGGGAAGGGGTCCAGACCTCTGGGGGTCGACGTGGTTAAACAATCACGACGTCGGAGGTCTGGGTATAGTGCCCAATCGGCATTCAGAGAAGATTCGTGATTTAGCTGACACTGGAAGGACATTGCCCGTGCATGGCGCATGGATGCTGTTTGGGGCTCAAGGTGGCAGGGGTCCATCTGCAAACGGGGGTCAGCCGCAGCGCCGGATCTTGCAGGATTCTGCAGGGCCAGGGGTGCACTGACCCGGACTTGGCTGCAGGATCCTGCAGGATCCTAAAGTATCCTGCAGGGTTTTGCAAAAACCTGCTAGGCCCGACTGACCCCTGGTTGGACCCAGGTCACTCGATCCCTAAGATGTTACCGTCCCTCATTCGAACAGGAAGGGAATCAGAATGGCCCACAAAGGGACGTGCGAGGACTGTTGGAGCGATCTTTTTCCGCCAGATGGCTTGACAGCCTCCCCTCACGATGCATGCCTGTGCGTTCTGTGTTCAACGCCCCTGAGAGCCGAAGTTGCGAAAAAAAATCAACATCTTAGAAATCCACGCCCAGAGCCCTGGACCCCATCTTTCTGCGCCATTTGTCGAGCCGGATCGATCTGTGAGGGTCCCGGGGCCCGACAAAATGCGAAAACGCACGGCTCCTACGTAATTGCTTTGGCTCTTTGAATATTGTTGGGCTTAAAGAACACGGCGTGGTAGGCCTATAGAACTGCCGGGACGGTCGGTCCCTGCTCACATGAGGGCGGGCTGGCGGCGGTGGTGGCGGTGCTGGAGCAGGCGGCTGCCTTTGCCCGCTGCGCGCGCGTCGGGGGGGGGAACAAACACACGCTGCCACGAGCGGGCGCGTTGCTGCCTCGCGCCTGCTTTGGTCGCGCTGTGGGTGCGCTTCCCACCCTACTTGGGGAGCTCGCTTGCCACGCCGGCTGGTCCTCTGGTGCCCCTGCTCGCCCACGCCGCGCGGCGCGCGCGAGGGAAGCGCTCGTTCCACCTCCAGAAGAAGAAGTGCGCCGCCTGCGGGTATCCCGCATCCAAGATCCGGTCCTACGAGTGGTCCAAGAAGGCCAGCGCGGGCCCGCGGGGCTCGTCGGGTGGGGCTGAAGCAGGGGCGAGATCTTTCCAGGGCGCTCCAGATCGCTCTCGGGGCGTTCTGGAACGCCCTGAGAGGTCCGCGGAGCCCGATCCCTCCTCCAGAGCAGCCGGATCTCAGAGGTCTCCGATCTATCCTTGTCTGGTTCTGTCCTTGTCCTGGCCCTGCTCTTGCCGCAGGGCTCGGCCGACGGGGGTTTTTGGGGGGTGCCCCATGCAGGGAGCGAGGGCCAGGGGACGGGTCGGGGCGACACTGGGCACCAGCGCAAGGGACAGGGAGTGGATTGGGGCAGAAGCGAGTAGAGGTCTCGACAAAGGGGGCAGGGCTCGTTTCGATTCCTCCGATTGGATTCGATTCGACTTCGATGGATTCCGATTCCGATTCGCTTCGACTTGGGCTTCCGATTTGGATTCCGATTTCTTATTGGAGACATACTGGCCTGCCGATTTCCGCCGATTCGACTTTTCCCGATTCGGCTGCCGATTTCCGTTCATGTCGATTGCCGATCCGATTTACCGATTCGATTCTGGGCTCTCCTGAGGGGGGGTCAGGTGGAGCGCTGGGGCAAAGTTGGGCAGGGTGTGGTGGTGGCTTGCGAACGCGATGCACATCGCCGGCGTGCCATGCGGATTTATGGTCATCGAGGCCTCTGCGACTGCAGCGGAAGTCGGGGTGGTGATGCGTGCGGCGAGCCGGCACGGTGGACTGAACGTCTGCCCCCGGGCGTGTTCGTTCAGCAACGTGTTGAGCCTCGCGGGCAGCGCGGAGAAGCCTCGGCTGTGTGGCCACGTGGCTCGCATTCCCTCGTCTTGAGCTCGGACTCCGCACGCTCCGCAGTGCAGGGGGGATCGGTGCTGACAGACCCCCCCTTCGTCCTGGACGCCGCGAGCATTTCCGCGAAGGCTGTCCAGCGGCGATTGCCAGACACATCGGGGGTCTTGGAGGAGGAGGAGGAGAAAGAGGAGGAGGACAGGGAGGAGAGGGAGGATGAGGAGGATGAGGAGAATGAGGAGAAGGAGAAGGAGGAGGAGGAAGAGGAGGAGGAGGAGGAGGAGGAGATGATGATGATGATGATGATGATGATGATGATGATGATGATGATGATGATGATGATGATGATGATGATGATGATGATGATGATGATGATGATGATGATGATGATGATGATGATGATGATGATGATGATGATGATGATGGTGATGGTGATGGTGATGGTGATGGTGATGGTGATGGTGATGATGATGATTATTATGATTATGATTATGATTATGATGATGATGAGGAGGAGGAGGAGGAGAAGGAGTATGTTGCTCTCGTGCAGGTCCTGTGGTGTCTCGGTTGATGGCAGGTGATGGGTGTCCTTCTGGCCCGAGGGATTGACCTTCTCAATAAAAGTCTGGGCCATAACTGCCGTGATCGGCCCTCTCCTTCCCGCCTGGGCCCCCCCCCCCTGGATCACGTCACGCCACTCTGCCCACACCTGCAGAGATGTCCTACGGATTCCCTTAGGATTTTCTCAGATTTCCGGTGGCCTTCTGCTGTGACGTGATCGGGGGGGGGACGAACCAACCCCCCCCGCCCTCCCCCCCTCTCCCCCGATGACGCCCGTTATCGTGAGTAATAAAAAAGCAGGCTCCGATCAGCCGAACAGGTAGGTGAGCGAACGAATTTTGTGGCCGAGAACGTGCCCGAAGTTGTGACCGAAAACGTCGTGTGGCCGAGAATGTGAGCGAAATGGTAGATCGTCTTGGCTTCGGAGCAAACTTTTCGATCGCACCCGGGCGAGGTCGGAAATTCTCGGGCCCAAGGTTCAGCCACAGAGGGGCAGAGATTCGGGCACAGGTTCGGTCACGACGCCTCCCCGATAGAGACAGGATTGCGTGAGCTTTCGACTTAGCTACGGCGTTATTTTTCCCTTGCTCCTCCACCGTGCGGAGTCTCAGGCAAACGTCAACCCCACTGTCTAGCAAGAACTTGGTGCCTCTGGCCGGCGCGGGAGGGCCCCCCGAGCGAGGCCCAAACAGTGGCCGAACGCTGGCCTGAGAGGGGCCAGCCATGTCCCGAATCCGAGGGGGGCGCAAGAGCCATGATGGCGTGAATTAACCATGGCAGGCTATCACATCTGCAACTGGTTCGTCGGACCCTCTGCGGTGCGTTCTGTCTTGGTGCCGAGATATCCCCACACATCGGCGTCGAGTTCGGTCCTGGCATTCATGTCGCCATCGCGTTGCGCGATATTGTCACGTCCATCTCGTTGCACAAGTTCTCCATTGCTTAGCTTCTTCTTCTTCTTCTTCTAAACTATTCCTATGTTTCCTGCGCCCTCCCAAGCATCAGCAATCTCCTGTGCGCAGCAGCCATCGCTCCAGGTAAGCTGTCTCGCCATGCCAGAGTCGCCACAGCCAGCATCGTTCTTCCTAAGGCCATTTCGCGACGAGATCCCTTCAACATCCAGGCTTTTATCGAAATCCCCATCACCTCAGAATCCCTTCAAAATTCTATCAAAATCCCCTCGTCGCCCTCGCAAGTGGGCAGAATCCCCTCAAAGCCCCCTCGTCGCGCTCGGAATCCCCTCAACATCCCCTCAGCGTCCCCTCAAAGTCCCCTCGTCTTGCTTCGCATCCCCTCGAAATCCCTTCAACATCCGCTTAGAGTCCCCTCGGATATCCCTTAACCATCCCATCAACATCCCCGCCGATTGACGGCCGCGTGTCATGAGGCGTGTTGCTGTGCGCGTGCACGGCGCATCGAGACGCTATTGTGTTATACCCGACTGAGTTTGAAGGCTCTGTCGATCAGCAGGGGAAGACACACACACAGACACAATATCTCGTCGATTCACAGGAAAATGTGGGAAATGGAAGGGAAGACAAAACACAGAACATATGGGAACATATGGGGAATCATGGGATTTGTGTGTGTATGTATTTGTGTGCCCCTGAGCCCCTTCAGTTATACCCGGCTGCGTTTGAAGGTTTTGTCGAGAGATTCGGTTCGTGAGTTGGTGTGGCGCCGTTCCCCCACGTGCGCCCATCGTTGTGTTTTCGTTCGCGCTGTGGGGCCATCGCGCAATACCGCGATTCAATTGTGCAGTCGGGGCGTTTCGGTCCATTGCGGCGGCTGTTTTGTAATTTTTGAAAGAGCCTCCACTTCTGCCACTCGCGCTCCGTTGGTGCATTTTCTTGCCCTGCGGCAGATTGAAATCCAGTCGGCAACCCATGGCAAGTATTGCATAACTTTCGGATGCGGTCGTCGGCTGCTATTTTTTTCGGGTGGGCGTTCAGCGCCCGTTTTTTTGTTCAAAGGGACGTTCGGCTTAGAGTGCGTTGGCGGTGTGCCCCTGAAGGTCACCCAGAGGCCTTCTCCGAGCTAGGGCGGGACAGGGCCCCCAGGCTGTGTCTCTGAGACTCCCCACTCCATTGCCTTGGGACTGACGACGTCGACGACCACGACGACGACGACGACGACGACGACAGCCTCCTTCACACGCGGAAGGGTTGGCGGACTTCTTATCGTGAGTATGTGTTGACTGCATCGGACGGGGTTGGGCTCCTCCTGCTTCATCCCCTTCCCCAGAACTGCCGCCCTCCCTCCCTTCCTTCTTCCCTCCGTCAGGAGGCGTTGAGTGCATTATGCAGGCACCTCGTTTAGCAGTGCATGGGCAGCCCATTTGGAGAGCAATAGTGAAACAACATTGTCCTCCCATCGACCCGGCAGATGCTTAGATGTAATATCTAGTTTCCGCTCCTCCTGCGCGGTGAACAGCTTTCCCCGCTGAGCCGACGTGTCGTGCGACGTGGCTTGCGCAAACGCGAAGCTGTCGTTGCCCTTGCGTCCGCCGCCTCTCCTGGCCGCGTCTTGGTCGATCCCGGCCGTCGCCGGGGAGCGCTCAGGCGGAGCTCGTCGGACTCGTGTCCCCACCGATTCCGTGAACCGCCACATGAGCGACGGAAGAAAACAGGGCCGAGCGTGCCGACATTCGCGCGTAAGGATCCCGCGTTTCCCGCGTAAGGCCGCGCGTCAGCGCTTCTCGTTTCCAGTGTGACGTTCTGCGCTTGCGGCCCGCGCAAGCAACCACGTAACGTCGCCATACCATCTCGCGTAAGACCCTTTCCTTTTCGTCGCTCACACGGCGGCTGACGAACCAGCCGCGGTGGGGGCTTGCGCATATCATGCGCCACTACACGCGCGGCGCCGTCCGCGAAGGCCTCTGGCGCTTCGCGGGGGCAGGAACGATTTTTTGGTAGTTGTTTGATTAGTTTAGCTTTCTCTGACTATTTTTAGTTTTTCTTCCAGAATCCGCCTGTAGGAGGACATTTCCGACCTGACACGAGTCGCTTCCTTTCTCTCTCCTCCTCCTCCTCACCCTCCCCTGGTCTCTGCATTTTGCTCGCGAGGATTCTTGTGGGCGCGGGCGCCGTCCAGCCAGGCCATTCTGGGCGCGCGCGCGTGTGTCTTAGTCAGGTTTATTAGCACCTCCTCCGCCGCAAAAAAGACAGACACCCGCCACTGGATTGCTCCTGGGCCTCAGGATGGCTGGCGGTGCATAAATCACCACTGAGAGCCAGTAACTCTGTACACCGTCCCCTCCTTGAGGTTACCTGCAAGGTTCGTCGGGGTGTGTGTGTGTGTGTGTGCATACAGCGGAGGCTGGCCCACAACAAGATTTTCACAAGAAACCCAACCCCGGGACCCCAAGACGTCCATTGATTGCTGGTGCGGCAACGTCACTCTTTCCATTGCAAAACCACGGGGGCCCAAGAAATCCAAGGCACCCTGGAGGCAAGCAGGGTGGTTCTTGGCATGGGTCTCCACTGTTCATTTTTTCGCGGCGTGCCTCCTTGCCTTGTCGTCCTCCTCCGAGCGCAGCAGCGGCGGAGCAGGCCGTGGGAGCTCCGGCCTCGTGCCCAGGGCGGGCGGCCCAAGGGGCCGTGCCGGGGATTTGGTGCCAGTTTGTCAACTGCAGGTGAGAGCTCAGTCGGGCATGTCCCTCCACGCCAGGAGTATTCGCAGACAGTGGAAAAATGGTCGGGGGACGATCTTTCGACTATGTTTGACTGATTTTGAGCTTCTCTTGCCCGTAGGAGGACATGCCCGACCGAAGACTACACGTAAGAGTGACTTTTCGCCAGAGTGACCTTTGGTGCGGGCCCATTGGGGTCCCTCGATCGCCGAGCTCGATGCGGCGGTGGCGTCTTGCGCGCTTGTGCTTGGCCCCCCCGCGGCCCAACGAAAAGCCGCGCACAGAGGTCACTCCTGCCCAGGGTCACTCTCTGCGTGCGGTCGAATGTTCAGCTTTCGGACGCTTCCCTCCGTCGCCGGCGGTCTGCCAGAAGTATATTCGGCCTGGCCGCTTTGAATGGCTAGCGCATGTTGGCCGTTCATCCTTGACGTGGCATGTGATCGTGAGATTTGTTTAACGGGAATGTCTGTTTCTGAAGTTTCCTATCTTTCCTTCCCCCTATCTCCTTGCTTCTCCCTGCGTCATCCACCCTGCATCCTTGATTGCCCACTATTCAGCCACCACCCTCCACCTTCCCCTTCGTCCTCCTCCTTCTCGTCCCCATCTTCTCCTGATGCTCCTCTCCTTCGTCCTCATCCTCCCTCCTATTCTTCTCCTCATGCCTCCTATTCTTCCCTCCTCCCTAGGAGAAGGAGGAGGAGGAGGAAGGAGGGAGGAGAAGAAGGAAGGAAGGAAGGAGGGAAGGAAGGAAGGAAGGACGGAAGGAAGGAAGGAAGGAAGGAAGGAAGAGGAGGAGGAGGAGGAGGAAGAGGAGGAGGAGGGGAGGACGCGGAGGAGGAGGAGGAGGAGGAGGAGGAGGAGGAGGAGGGAGGAGGGAAGAGGAGGAGGAGGGGGAGGAGGAGGAGGAGGAGGAGGAGGAGGAGGAGGAGGGGGAGGAGGAGGAGGCGGAGGGAGGAGGATGAGGAGAAGGAGGAGGAGGAGGAGGCGTAGGGAGGAGGATGAGGAGAAGGAGGAGAGAGGAGGAGGAGGGAGGAGGAGGGAGGGGGGGGAAGGAAGAGGCAGGAGGGAGGAGGGAGGAGGAGGAGGAGGAGGAGGAGGAGGAGGCGGAGGGAGGAGGATAAGGAGAATGAGGAGGAGGGAGGAGGGAGGAAGGAAGAGGCAGGAGGGAGGAGGGAGGAGGGAGGAAGGAAGAGGCAGGAGGGAGGAGGGAGGAGGAGGAGAATTAGGAGGAGGCGGGCCCCTCCCCATCTCAGCGAGCGCCCCGGCTGCCCCTCCCGCGGCTCCCGCCCCTCGCGCCTCTGGCAGGCCAAGCGCCGCCGCGCGCCGGGCACCGGCCGCATGTCGTGCCCCCGCCTCGCCGCCTGCTTTCGGGGGAAGAGAAACCTACCTCGCTTTTGACCACCCTCGCTTCCAAGAGATACCAAACGATGCCAAATTGCGGCCCGTACTGGTCAGGCCGCCTGACGAGGAGGCGCGTGGTATGGCTTGGTTTTGCCTGGAAGCGCAAGCGGGGTAGGTAATTCACGCTCTGATGCTTTCTGGCGATCGCAAACATGGATCAAGGGGGCGCGGATTAGCGACGGGCCCCGTTTCCACGGGAAATCGCGGATTCCCGCCGCCGAGCGAGGCGGCACCGGCCGCATTTTGGGCAGGGCACCCCCCTCGATCCATGGATTTGGCGACCGCGCGCCAAATCCATTGATCGCTAATCCATGTTTGCGCGCCCCGACTCTCGATGGAGGGAGCGCGACTCGGCTACTCGTCGTTCTGCGTCGTTTGTCAACGTTCGGTGTCGTTCGTCGTCGTCGTCGGTTTCGTCGTCGTCGTCGTCGTCGTCGTTCGTCGGCTTCGTCGTTCTTTGTCGGCGTCGGTATCGTCGTCGCTCGTCGGCGTCGGCGTCGGCGTTGGCGTCGGCGTCGTCGTCGTCGCTTGTCGGCGTCGCTTGTCGGCGTCGGCGTTGGCGTCGGCGTTGGCGTCGTCGGCAGCGTCGTCGGCGTCGTCGGCGTCGGCGATGCGGGCGTCCAAAGATATCGTGCTTGGGTATTCGCGAAGGCAGCTATGGTTGATTTCTGGGCCTGCTCAGGCTCATCCTGAGATTCGGTTTGACGACTAACCCCCCCGCATCGTCCCGATGCATGCTCCTAAACCTTCCCGATCACCGCAAATCGCCTGGGCATCGTTTCTGGATGGGCTGGTAGAGTTTTGCGAAGCGTCAAGGACTAACCAGCATGGCAGGTCCCAGAAACCCGCACTCCAACAAAAACAACCTTTTGACACAGATCTTGGCAGAATGGCCGAATGGTTTTGCGCCGTCTTTGGAAGCGTAGCTGAAGTGGGGATCCGCAGCCCAGATCATTGGTATTATCATTGCTATTTTTATTATTAGTTCTGTATTATTGTTGTTGTTGGCGACGACGACACCGTGTTTCAGAGGCCCCCCTGGGAGAGGGGGGGGGGGGGGGGGGGGGCGCACCGCACCGCGCGCACCGTACTGGGCGCACCGCACCGCAGCGCACCGCACCGCACCGCGGGGAATCCTTGGGCATCCGCAGGAGCCCCTAGGGAATCCTTAGGAATCCCAAGGGAATCCTTAGGGCGTCCTACGGAATCCTTCGGAATCCCCAGGGGACCTTCAGGAATCCTTTGGGAATCCTCAGGAATCTCTAGGGAGCCCCACGGGATCCCCAGGGAATTCGTAAGAATCCTAAGGGGTAGGGAATCCTCAGGGATCCCTAGGGTGTTCTACGGAATCTTCGGGAGGCTTGGGGAGTACATGCGGAATCCTGAGCAATCCCTTGGGAATCCCACGGTATCCTTAGGAATCCTAATGCGTCCCTTGAGTGCGATCGCCCTCCTTGTCCTCCATCCTCCTCCCTCTCCCCTCTGCCTCCCCCTCGATCTGCTTCCCCTCTTCTCCCCCCTCTGCCACCTTGTCGTCCTCCTCCCCCTCCTCTCCCCGCGTTCTCTCCCGCCATCCGTGTTCTGTCCCCTCCAGGGGGAGGGAGGGGGAGTCGATGATAGTAACGCTTATGATGGTAATGGTAATGATGGTGATGATGATGATGATGATGATGATGATGATGATGATGATGATGCTGATGCTGATGCTGATGCTGATGATGATGATGATGATGATGATGATGATGATGATGATGATGATGATCATTTATGGGAAGGAATGGCAGGTTATGATGGAGATTCTCATCGGGCAGGGGGGGAGAGAGAGAGAGAGAGAAAAAGAGAGAGAGAGAGAGACATTGCCGTGGGACATGCACGGGAATGGAGGGTAGCAGGATGGCAGGCCGGACCGCCCTGCAGCCGCACTGTCTGGGTTCGGCCTGGCTTTCCCCACCCCCCCAGGAACCCTCCATCAAAATGAGGGGGCCGAGCGGTCCTACCCCGTTCGCGGGTGCGTGGTCCGCTTCCTCACCTTCATCCGCAAATGCGGGGTGTCAGGTATGATATACTTTGCTCTCCGACCCGTATGCCGGTATGCCTAGCTTCCGGCGGGTCTCCGTCTCCTTGGGCCCCGCGCGACCCAGCCTACCCATCTGGCTTCGCCGCTTGTCCTGGGTAAGACGTCGTCCGTTGCACACCCTCGCGCGTGGCTCCGGACGCGCAGCTCCGCTGCCAGCGCCATCGCGCCGTCTCGGTCTGCGTCAGTGCAGGGACGGGGACTCTCTGCGCAGGCACGTGCTTCCCTTGTCGAAGGGGCCAGCGCGCCCTGCGACAGCACCCCCCGGGCAGGATCATAATCAAAGGTTGCAGGTAGGGTCTACCCTCCTCCCCCCTCCCCCGATCGATAATGATGATGGTGGTGATGGTGATGATGATGATGAAAATGACGATTATGGTTATGCCGACGTCGATGATGAATGTGGTAGTGGCGCTGACGCTCGTGCTGACGATGGTGATGGTCCGAATGTCAATGATGATGATGATGATGATGCGATGTATGATGATGCCGGTGGTGACTATCATGATGCTGACTAGGATGGCGATGATGGTGATGTGATGCAACTGCTGAGCACGATGGTGATGATGTTGCGAATGATGACGTTGACTACGCATATGATGAAGGTGGTGCTTGTACTGGTGACGACGATAATGATGATGCAGACTACGATGATGATGAATGCGGCGCTGGTGACAGCGATAATGATGATGCTGACTACGATGACGATGCTGATGATGGTGGTGTTGGTGCCGACGGTAATGACGGCGCTGATTACGATGGTGATGATTTTTAGGATGACGACCGTGACGATGATGGTCGTACATGACGGTGGTGATGGTGAAGATTACGATGTTTACGATAGTAATGATGATTAAGATGATGATGATGACGACGATGCTCATTTTGACGATGGCAATGACGATGACGATCATGATGATGATGGGGATGGCGATTGTGATGATATGGATGATGATTCACCTTGAATAGGGTGCCCATTCGCAGTGGATACACTTCTACCAGGATTTGATTAGGTGTGGACGCGCGTCTTTTAGGATTTTGTTAGGAGTGGATAGACGGTTGAAGGGATTTTATTTGGGGTGGATACACCTTTTACGAGGATTCTACCAAAGGGGTTGATACATGTTTATTCTCATTCTATCAGGGGTGGATACACTTCTAATAAGGTTCTATTCGGGGTAGGGGTGGATACACCTCTCGTTGGATTCTACACCAGGGGTGGATGCACCTCTGAGAGGGTTGTATCAGGGCAGGATACCTTTAGTAGTATTATTTTATTTTTGGCGGATACACCTTGAGTCGGATTCTATTAGGGGTGGATACACCTCCAGCAGGATTTTAGTAGGAATGGATACACATATAGTAGGTTTCGATTCGGAGTGGATACACCTCCAGTAGGAGTCGATTAGGAATGGGTACACGTCTAGTAAAATTCTACCAGGAGTGGATACACATCTAGTAGGATTCGATCAGGGGTGCATGCGCCTCTAATAGGATTCCATTAGCGGTGGACAAACTTCTAAGTTGATTTTATTCGAGGTGGATACATTTTTAATAGGGTTCGATTGGAGGTGCGGAGGCGCGGCGCGGTGCGGCGCTCCCCCCCCCCCAAAGCCCCGAAGGGGCCTCTGAATGCCGGCGTCCCTCTTTGGGGCCGACGGGTAAGCGAGGCCCTGGGCATGGGGCCCAGAAAGACGGCGTTGCTTTGTTCTTTCTCCCTCGGTGCACCTGGTGTTTTTCAATGGAAGTTCCCCTCCATAGCTCGCGCCATGTTTTCCTACACGGGGAAGTCTTGCGCCTCAGACGGTGCAGTTGGCCTTTTGTTTATCGCGACGACGGCTTTGCTCTGACATTTCGCCACGATTCATTCAAATTCGCGCTTTCGCGCGGGACTTGCTTACACTGTATTCAGAAGTCACGCTCTCGCGCGGGAGTTCTCGCAATTTATTCAGACGTCGCGCCTTCGACATTCAGGAATCACGCTTTCGCTTTAGATCTCGTCACGATTTATTTGGGGATCGCGCCATCGCTCGAGTCGTCCTCGCGATTCATGTGGGACTGACGCCCCAGCGACCCGCGACCCGCCGGACTGATTCTGCCGCCTGTTTTTGGGTTTCAGTCCCCCTCAGGTAATCTCTCCCGTGCTACATCCTTCTCCCTCCTCCTTGTGTCCTCCTTCCTCCCCCCCTTTTCTTTGGTTGCGGGGCTGCGACAGCTACACGTGGCAGGTAAGGAAACTATGCCCCTAAGGGGGTGCGATCCAATACGAAGAGGGCGGGTATTGAGTGTTGAAATGATTGTTATTGTTGTCGTCCTCATTTGCGCCCCCCCCGCGACCCACCCTCCCACCTGCGACCCGGCTCGCGATCCGCCTCGCAATTCACCCCCACCCACCCACTTCGCTCTGACGAAAGTATTGGCGCCTGCGGCGGGTTCGTTCTAAGATTTCAAAAAGTGGCGCCCGCGGCGGGCTTCTTCAGAGCCTCGCAGACCGCCGACGACCCAGCCGCCCCCTCACTCGGATCCGTATTTGCGGGTTATTGTGCATCTTTGTTCAGAGTTCGGTGCGATCAAAATGGGTATGGAAGAAAGGAAACGAGGTACGAAGGCCGACGGCAGTCTTATCTCAGGCATGCCCCTCTACAGGATGAATGTTCAAGAACAGTCCAAAATAGTCGAGGGACGATGTTTGACTATTTTTGGATATGTTTGGTAATGTTTTGACGATTTTTCATCTGTCACCCAATATCCGCCTATAGGAGGACATGCCCGACCTAACAGCAGTTCCTGCTCATTTTGACCTGGCGCCGCGCACGTTGTCCATTCGAGAAGAGAAGACGTCTGCCCAGCAGCGACCGTTGTCGGAGTTGGACAACATGTTCTGTTGGACATTGAGCCGCATTGGCGGTGCACGTGCACATGTTTGTCCGCACCCATTCCGGACGCGCCCACGAAAAGGAAAAGTCGAATATGCATACATAGCGTATGGATCGTACACGCGTGCACATGTGCGTGTATGTGTGTATGTATGTACGCTCGCGCCCAGAATGCGGGTGTGGCATCCCGATGCAACATTGACCAACCCTTGGTCCAAGAAGAGACTGGAGATGGACAGGATCTCTCGCACGGCTCTTGTGCTTTATAGTGTTCGTTGCGCACGCTGTTTTCGTAGCCGTCATCGCCTCTTGTCGTGTTTCCGCATTCGTAGCTGTTTCAGTCGAGTCTCTCGAGTTTGCCCATGCTTTCGAACCGCCAGTCGTGCTCGTGCCCCTGCTCGAGTTTCATGTTCTGTACCTGCCAAAGCCTCGGGGACGCGGAGTGGGGATCCTGCTTCTGGGGGAACCAACAGGTACCGATACCGCTACTCTTTGGATATCTCCCTGGGTGCGTTCTGACCAGGATTTCGAGGCGAATCCAGCGGTGGCGACGAGGGCCTCCCAGGAGGCCCAAACAGGGGAAAATGGAGGAGGGACAGCGGTATGGCTACCTTCTTCCTCTCCATTCTCGCCCTCCGAGGTACCTCAAGACGATGCCGCGCCGCTTCAAGAACGGCTTCCGCAGTGGCACCACGGCGCCAGCGCGCAAGAAGGATGGCCCCGCCCCTCGATGGGCCAGGGGGGAGGGGGCAGGCAGGAGGTATGAGGCAGGATGACCAGGAGGAGGAGGCGGAGATACCGATGACACCGATAACAACGATACCGATGAAAAAACGATCACAACGATCACAACGATATTCACGTCACGGCGATCGTTGTGATCGTTGAGATCGTTATTACCGTTATCGTTGTGAGGAGGCAGGCGGAGGGCAACAAGGAAGCGGAGGAGCAGACGGCTTCCGCAGTGGCACCACGGCGCCGACGCGCCAGCAGGACGACCCAAGGGCTCCCTCGAGGGCGCGAAGTTATTCGCGCTTCGCGCTTCGCGGTCCTCGTTCCTTCTCCTCCTCCTCCTCGTCCTCCCATTCTCCCTTTGGGAGGGCGGCGCGAGAGCGCGAAGTTGTTCGCGCTTCGCGCTTCGCGCAGCGCGAGAGCGCGAAGTTGGGAGCCCGTGCAGCAGGACGGCCCCGCCCCTCGAGGGGGGTCCGGCGCGGCCCCCTCGGGGCGCGGGCCCGTGCGGCGCGGCGGCCGGGCCCGGAGCGCGTCCCCGTCGAGGCGTCGCTCGCGCCGCGCTCCCAGACCCCCTCGCGCTGTGGCAGAGCATCACGACGGAAGCAAGGGCTCCCCCCGAGGGCGCGAAGTGATTCGCGCTTCGCGCTGCGCGGTCCTCGTTTCTCCTCCCCCTCCTCCTCGTCCTCCTTTTCTCCCTTTGGGGGGGCGGCGCGAGAGCGCGAAGTTATTCGCGCTTCGCGCTTCGCGGAGCGCGAAGCGCGAAGTTGGGAGCCCTAGCGGAATGTGTTTCTTGTTATTTGCGGCCGGCGGGTGCCCCTCACCGAGCCTCGGGACCGTCCAAAAACGATTCGGGCTGAAAATCTGGTTCTGGGGGTTTTCTTTTCCGCCGTGGACGTTGCCATCTCTCGGAGGAGGGAAAGGTATCCACACCGCTACCCTTCGCCCGTTTTCTTCCTTTTTGAGCCTCTTGGGAGGCCCTCGCCGCCGCCGCTGGATTCGCTTGGAAGTTCTGGTCAGAGCGCACCCCGGGAGAGGTCCGGGGAGTAGCGGTATCGGCACCGTTGGGTTTCCCCATTCTCCGCCGTGGACGTTGCCATTCCCGCAGGAACTCGGCAGGTATGTTTTTTCCGGGCGCAGGGGCGGGCGCTTCTTTTCGTTCGGCTCGGAGCAGCGCGATCCCTCCAGAGCCCCACGACCGCGCACACGAGCCCCCAGGCGCGTTTTCCACGGATCGCGAAGTGAGATGCGGGTCGCAGTGATATAACAGATCCACTGCTGCGACGTGTTAACTACATCATGATGACAAAACAACAGTCGACAATACCGCTATGCACTCTGACACTCACCGCGCACCGTAGGCCTGGCGGTGTACACACCAGACTAGACGATCACGGGAATAAGCACGATCACCATCACCAGCGTCTCGCGGTTCCATGTTGGCCGGCGCCGATTCTCGAGGATGATCCAAAAAATTGACGGTGAACATGATGGACGATGACCAATATCGACACCGATGCGTCCGCGTTCAGTCTTGCTCATGGCCCTCGTGTGTTTTCCCTCCAAGTTCCTTCGATAGTATGCTCGATGGCTACGATGTTCGCACACACACCCTCACACCTCGGAAGTGCATTGCAGATCTGTCCCAAACACTTTTTGACGAAGATGGGTAAGATAATTGTTGTCGCTTCGCGAATCCCCACCAGCCCATCCAGAAACGATGCCCAGAGGAATTGCCTCGATCAGAGAAGTGGGCAGCACACAGAGGAAGCCATTATGAGACATCTTGGGATATCTTGAGCCATCTTGGAGGTCATTTTGGGCTCTCCCAGACGCTCTTGGAGTCATCTTAATCCGTGCCCCCCCCCAAGAGGCCTCCATGTGGCTAAAACCTGTGTAGAATCAATGATTAGGCATTCTCGCCGAGGCCTCTTGGAGCATCTTGGGTGCATCTGGGGGGGCTCTTGGGGCCTCTTGGGGGTCTCTTGGGGGCCTCCGGGGGGCCTCTTGGGGGCCTCTTGGGGCCATTTTGGGGCCATCTTGGGACCTCTTGGGGCTTCCTGGGCGCTTCTTGGGGCCATCTTGGAGGAGATCGATCAAACAAGAGGGGGGGTTCAATTAGCGCCCCCCCTCGGAAGCCCCTAAAATCGCCTCTTGGACCCCTCTTGGAACGCTCTTGGAGTGCTCTTGGGCGCTCTTGGGGCCGTCTTGGGGCTCTTTTGGGGCTCTCTTGGGGCCCTCTTGGGCCATCTTGGAACCATCTCCAGGCCTCGGATGGCCATCGGAAGCGAAAAGGCGAGAAAGCAAAAATCATTGATTTTCCTTAGGTTTTGGGACGATTTTGGCCTCTTCGGGGCCTCCTTGGGGAGCTGTTTGGCCACTTGGAGTTATCTTGGGGCCGTCTTTGGGCTTCTTGGAACCATCTTAGGAGCCATCTCGAGCGATCTTGCGCTATCTTGAGCCATCTTGGAGCTCATCTTGGGTTCTCTGAGGCGCTCTTGGAGCCGTCTTGGGCCATCTGGGACGCTCTAACTACCCGCGGCCCCCCCCGTCCAGGTCCAGGGGAGGGGGTAGGGGGAGGGGTAAACCCCTCCCCAAGGGGGAAGAGGGAGGGGTGGAAGAGGATCTGCTCTAGACCACCTACGCCCAGAGGGCTGGTGGGATTTGTGTTTCATGGTTCCTTGAATCATGATGGATCGACATGTTTATGTTCAAGTGCGTTGCCTCAGCTTGCCTAGGTATGCGAGCTCAGGTGTGTAGTATGACGACACGAAATCGAGCAATAATCATTCTTGATAAGTTGGGTGTCCTTGGTGGTTCTATGCATGTTGGTTCGTGAATCTGAGTGGGGCCTTGAGCGCCGGCCTAAACCAAGGAAGTTTTCAGAGCCCCTGGACAAGCTACGGAGCAGAGAAGTCATGCACCGTGCTGGCACGCACCACGCCACGATGATACAAATTCCTGCTGATTCGTATCCAACTGCACGCCGGAGGCAAAGCGGTGTGCGTACAAATACACCCGTGCAGCACGCAGATTGGCATATCTAATTGTTGCATGTTGCATCCAGCGCACGGGCGCACCAACAAATCGACACCCGTCGATGCGTACGGAGGCACTAATTAGAGCAGGCATTGAAGACCCAACAATTGACATAGGGCCAGCTTTCCCGAGCTCTGTGAATAACCACGTAAATTTACAAGCGCGTGAGGCCTGACAAATTGACACCAAGGTTTTGCGTGCTGCGCGTATGGCAAGGCATGAAGTGCCAGAGAGCTTCTGTAGACGCAGCGCACACCTCCACATATACACACATGCACGCACGCACACGCACACGCACACGCACACGCACACGCACACACACACACACACTCACACTCATTTTTGCGTCGGCGGCTAGGCAGAGTGACTGCGCTGGTGGAAGGGCCAAAATTGGGCGAACAATTGCGATTTATGCCGCAATCCACGGGGGAAGGAGGAGGAACGCACACACACGCACACACACACACATTCACACACACACACGACGACGACGACGACGACGACGACGACGACGACGACGACGACGACGACGACGACGACGACGACGACACCCACACCCACACCCACACCCACCCCCACAACCACACACCCACACCCACACCCACACCCACACCCACCCACACCCACACCCACACCCACACCCACACCCACACTCACATCAACACCCACACCCACACCCCCACCCCCACCCCCCTCACTTGTCCTTCTTAATATGCACCCCCTCCCCCAGGCGACAGGCGTGTAACCAGGAACCATGAGGACGCAATGCCGACCCGCCTTTCACCATCCCTGTCAAATTATCCTGGCGAAGGACCCAACCATATGCAGTTGTGGGTACCGCAATTGTGAAAATCTTCTTCGGTGAAACTCCCTATGGGGCCACGAAGCGCTGCACTGGGTGGGGGGGAACGCTATTCTGGGTGAGTGGTGTGTCAAGTAGTAAGGTTTCCGGGACGCATGCGGACGGTCCCACTGGGGGCTTCGGTGGAGCTCCCTATGGGGCCACGAAACGCTGTACTGGGTGGGTGAAAATGCCAAATTGGGCTTCCGGGACGCACGCGGACGGTCCTCTAGAGGCTTCGGTGGAACTCCCTATGGGGCCACAAGACGCTGCACTGGGTGGGTGAAAATGCCAAAATTGGGCTTCCGGGGCGCATGCGGACGGTCCCACTGGGAGCTTCGGTGGAGCTCAATAAGGGGCCACGAAACGCTGTATTGGGTGGGTAAAGGTGTCACGTTGGATTTTCGGGACGCAAGAGTTCCCTACGGGGCTACGAAATTTTGGACTGGGTGGGTGAAAATGCCACAATGAGTGTTTCGGCACGCTTGCGGACGGTCCCACTGGAGCCTTCGGTGGAGCTCCCTGTGGGGCCACGAAACGCTGCACTGGGTGGGTGAAAATGCCAAATTGGGTGCGCGGGACGCATGCGGACGGTGGCACTGGGGCCTTCGGTGGAGCTCCCTGTGGGGCCACGAAACGCTGTAATGGGTGTGCGAAAATGCCAAATTGGGTGTTTCATGACGCACTCGGACGGTCCCACTGGGGGCTTCGGTGGAGCTCCCTATGGGGCCACGAAGCGCTGTACTGAATGGGGGGGGACGCATGTGGACAGTAGCACTGGGGCCTTCGGTGGAGCTCCCTGTGGGGCCACGAGACGCTGCATTGAGTGGGGGGGGCGCATGTGGACGGTGGCACTGGGGCCTTCGGTGGAGCTCCCTATGGGGCCACGAAGCGCTGTACTGAGTGGGGGGGACGCATGTGGACGGTGGCACTGGGGCCTTCGGTGGAGCTCCCTATGGGGCCACGAAACGCTGTACTGAGTGGGGGGTACTGAGTGGGGGGACGCATGTGGACGGTGGCACTGGGGCCTTCGGTGGAGCTCCCTTGGGGCCACGAAACGCTGTACTGAGTGGGGGGGACGCATGTGGACGGTGGCACTGGGGC